CCTGCCTGGCCTTTCCTCCAGCCCTGGCTGGCAAGAGGGATCCTGAGCATGAGAAGAGAGTCCCTGGGAGGAAGCCTCATGTTACAACGTTACAATCCATTACAATGCAATTCAGGTCCGTCGTTCACACTTGCTGAACCCGGTTCTGAATCGATTTCCCCCTCCCCCAAAAAACTGCCGGAAAACTATTCTTTAAAAAGTGCAGTCTTTTTACCAATAGCAACAGCAACTTCATTTATATACTGCTTCATACCACACTATGCAGTCTCTAGTCTAAGCGGTTTACAAGTGTAAGCCAATTGCCCCCATCAAGCTGGGGACTCATTTTGGTGATGCAAGTCTGAGTCGACCCTGAGCCCCTGGCTGGGACTGAACTCACAACCTTGTGGTTTGTGAGTGTGTGGCTGCGGCACAGGCATTTAACCACTGCACCGCCAGGGCTCTTTTTTGGCTCTGTAGTGGTTCAAAGTGACTCCGAACGATTGCTGTCGCTTCTGAAACTGCTCACAGTGGGAACGAGGCACATATACAACGATTTGCAATTTGCTACAAATCGTAGTGGGAATGAGGCCTAGGACTTGCACTTTGCTCAGAGGGAACACGTGTGTTTGCACACACACACAAACAGGAGGAGGGTGCAATGGTGCAATCCCACCGCTTTCCTTGATAGCAACCTCCGAGCCAAAAGAGCCCCCTTTTTTAATCATGTTTGTATTGATATAATTAGTAACTCATTTAACACCGTCGATAGAGCTATATTCCTCTATAAACAGAAGAATTAAACTGTCAGGCCCTGGAATCAATATGCCCACAGAGGACGGGACTTGGCTGTTCTCCCATTGCAATCCGCAAGAGAAAGAGGCAACTCTGTCCTTGCAGGTAACATGCAAAGGGGTTTTTTGGTGTTTCCCTCTGCATTGCCACAGACATGAAAACAGAGTAGAGTACGAGTAAGATTTTGTTTATTGTTAAAAGCTATAAGCTATCACAATTCAATATAACAAAGACAAAATAGAAACAAAACTACAATAACGGTGATAAATTTAAAATGGAATACAGGCAAAAAGCAAGTGATACAAAATATATACAAATGCAAAAAAATATCAAATCATCTCTAGTATAAATTAAATTAAAAGCCCCTATATCGGGTACCATGTATCTTCACCACCTCCATGTAACTCTTATAAATGATTTTGATGCCTAGATCCTAACTTAACGGTACTTACGGCCAATGCAAATTTTGCAACCATGCTGGTGATATATGCATTGTTGCCATACAGAAAGGGCATTGCAAAAGATCGTAGTGAATATCTTCTACTTCCCCTGATTCACAAATGCAAAGTCTTTGATGCAGAAGCGTATTATTATATCTTCCCTTCAATTAGGCGGACCACACAGACTGAAAGCGTAGGGCTGTAAATGCTTTTCTAAGCAGGGGCAGGGTCAGGCTTAAAAAATATTGTTCCATTGCAAAAGGTGTTTTATATAGTGGGTCTCATAAAGAAGATGTTGCTTGGGAAAGCATATATAGGCATATTTGGAGGCAAGCTGAATTTTTTTTTCTTTAACAGAACAACTGAGTAAGGTGACAATCACTCCTGGAACATTTGCTGGGAATTTGCAGAAAGCAAAGTATGTTCTGGACCATACCTATATGTCGCTTCAAAGATCTGGGAAACATCCTTTTGCATGAGGTCTGGACTGCAGAGGCATGAAAATACACTGTTGTTGTTGTTGTTGTTGTTGTGCCTTCAAGTCGTGTCCGACTTATGTAGACCCTAAGGCAAACCTACCATGGGACTTTCTTGGCAAGATTGGTTCAGGTGAAGTTTGCCATTGCCTTCCTCCGAGGTTGAGAATGTGTGACTTGCTCAAGGTCACCCAGTGAGTTTCCATGGCCGAGTGGGGAATCGAACCCTGGTCTCCAGGTCATAGTCCAACACTCAAACCACTACACCACACTCTCTGTTGTTGTTTTTACATACATCAAATGGACTTCAACTTATGGCAATCTATGCATGAGAAACCACCAAGAGACCCAGTTATTAACTCATGTTTTGCAAACTTGGGGCAGTCCTTGACTGAGCATAAAAGAAGTATTAAATTCTTTTTAATATTAATAATTGTTAAATAATTCTGTATGCCAGGCACACACACACAAAGAGCAGCTGTATTTTATAACCTGTCTTCCTCCCGACATGAGACCCAAAAGAATGTATGCTATTAAAAACCATACCAAATTAAAGCAGTTGGAAAGAATTTATACTGTTAGCAGTGAGAATTAATGGAGACCATGGATCTTTAAAAGGCCACCTCCCTGGAGTATTTCAGTTGTATATTCCTGTATGGATGGAGGTTGGACTAGATGACCCTGGAGAACCCTCCCGATTCTCAGCTTCTATGATTCCACAGGAACCATTAACAGGGAAAAGCCTGTCCTTCATTTGTTGGAGGTTAAGTTAAACGGCCAAGGCTAAAGGCGGGGTATAAATAAATTATTATTATTAAATCAAGAGAACCAGTATGGTGTCGTGGTTTGAATGTTGGACTATGACTCTCGAGTATATGTGTATGTTGTGTGCCTTCAAGTTGTATCTGACTTATGGTGACCCTATCATTGGGTTTTCTTGGCCAGATTTGTTCAGAGGAGGTTTGCCATTGCCTTCCCCTGAGGCTGAGAGGATGTGACTTGTCCAAGGACATCCAGTGAGTTTCATGGCTGAGCTGGGATTCGACAATGAAACCACCAGGGTTCAAATCCCTGCTCTGCCATGGAAATCTACTCGGTGACATGAGGCAAAAACCCTGTCATAGGTTTGCTTTAGCATCACCATAAGTCAGAAATGACCAGAAGGCACACAACAACAACAACAAGCACAATGCACATCCATACACAAAACACATTCATTTCTATTTCATTTTTATTTTTATCCCATTCATCTCCCACCTTTCTTCCAGCACAGGACTCAAGGCAGCGTTTGTGAGCAATAGCTCCGTCATTTCTGACTTTTGGCGACCCTAAGGCAAGCCTATTACGGGGCTCTCTTGGCAAGATTTATTCACAGGAATCTCGCCACTGCCTTCCTCTGAGGCTGAGAGAGTGACATATGCCCAAGGTCACTCAGTGGATTTCCACGGCCGATCAAGGATTCGAACCCTGGCTTCCCAGAATCCTAGTCCAACACTCAAACCATTATGCCGCACTGGCTCTCTAGCTTAGAAATTTGTCCAAAAAGTAGGAAATGCAACTCCATTCCCCTTTTCCTTAGCCCTGCATCATTTTTATTCCTGCAAAACTCCTGGAGAGCAGTTGTTCTTTGCTTCCAGCCTGCTTCAAGCATCCCCCACCTTGTTCTGCCTTCAACACTTTTGCATTGCAACTCCGCTGGTGCCCAACCTTCCCCTGCCGCCTCTGGGGCTTTTCTAAACACCCCATTTTCTTATTGTCATGGAGATCCTCTTACTCCAGGTCTAGGGATAACATGGGCTTAAGCCTCCAAAGCCAAAGGTCACACTGTCAAACTGTGTTTGCCAAAGGCTGGGTAGGAAGACTTGCTCAGTGGCTTTCCCCTCTTGCCATTATTTCATGGGGAGAAATAATATTGACTTTCCCTCTTTTAATGTACTGAAAAAAGGGAAGGATTGAGTCGTATTTCAGAGGGGCTGGAATCCTACGGGCATTTCATGGTGGCACATTCAGATGTCCTCATTTTGTTGCTGTTGTTGTGTGCCTTCAAGTTCTTTCCGACTTATGCCGACCCTAAGGCAGCAACGCTATCATGGGTTTTTCTTGGCAAGATTTGCCCAGAGGAGGTTTGCCATTGCTTTCCCCGGAGGCTGAGAGTATGTGACTTGCCCAAGGTTATTCAGTGGGTTTCGCGGCTAAGTAGGGAATCGAACCCTGGTCTCCAGAGTCCTAGTCCAGTATTCAAACCACTCCGCCACATTGATTCTCATAGCTTCCTTGCTACGGCCATGTGTACCAGTCCCAACATGCAAGATGCTCCAGCTAAAGAATAAAACAGCGTCCAGATCGAGGAAAGTCGTAGTGCTGCTCCCTTCTGCTTTGCTCAGATCTCACCAGGAATCCCGGGTCCAGTTCTGGGCACCGAAATGCATGAAGGAGATCCACAAGCTGGAACACGTCCAGAGAAGAGCAACCAAGATGATCCAAGATCTGGAAACCAAGCCTTATGAGCTAGTTATGTCTACCTTGGAGAAAGAGAAGACTGAGCGGTGACTTGATGGCTATCTTTAACTATCTAAAGGGCTACTGAGTGGTGCCGTGGTTTGAGTGCTGGACTATGGCTCTGGAGACCCAGGTTCAAATCCTCACTCAGCCATATAAACCCATTGGGTGACCTAGACCAAGACACATACTCTCAGGCAACGGCAAACCTCCTCTGAACAAATCTTTTCTTATATATATATATATATATATATATATATATATATATATGTATGTATTATTTATAACCTTTATAACATACAAATAAAACATAGCTAGTGGTATTATTTACATACTAGTCATTTCTAGTAATTAATTATATTTGCGAGAATTAAAAACCTTCTACCTACATAATTGTTGACATCCTTTTAAATCTTAACTTTGTTACTTTCTTTTTACCTTACATACCGTATTTTTCGGCATATTAGACGCACATTTTCTTCCCCAAA